CTCTCTCTCCACTCACATACAGAGACACAAACACACACATACCCCCCCTCCCTTCACACAAACTCTCTCTCTCCCCTCACTCTCTCTATCTGCTATCCCTCTCTCTCCCTCTCAGTCTTTCTCTATTCGTGCTTGTACGCTAAGATCACACCCCATCCCCCTCTCTAACTGTGCATCACTCACGCCCACCCACCAACCCCTCCTCCTCTACCTAATTGTGCACTCCCCACCCCCTCCCCTTTCTTCTCCTTAAAGCCACGGACCCCGGAGACCAGTCCTCACGACCCGACGGCACTCCGTAAGAACCGTCTGCCCTCACGTCAGATGCCAAGCCGGGATATTTACGAGCGAAATTCCTTAAACCGTTTCAGACCTATCAACCACCTCTTTATGCTCGCTTGTCAATAATCGTGTAGGTTCGACACGCAGAATCGATTCCCCCAATTCAATTTACAAAACCCATAACGATTACTTTGTACCTCGACCTGATGACAGCAAATGCAAAGACTTGAGTTCGTCGTTATTTCCTGCGGAAGTTTATCTCACCGGGAATTAAATTCCAATTTTCGTTTCTTTAATAGGTTTCTTGTTAACACTCAAGAGATTACTAACTGGTTTTTGGTGAAAGGTACACTGCAGGCGGAGAACAATCATCTTTTCTTGGACGGCTGACATTTAAGTCTACTGATGCACGAGTCCATTGCATTGCTGGTACGTAGCCAAAAAATGTGGTGCGTGTCTAAAAGACTGCAAAGCTGTATGTCCGCCATAGATCGGACATTTTACACTGATATGGGCAGGTTCGCCATTGTTTTGTTGAATTCGCGTGAGATTTCCAGTAGGAGGGATGGATTAGACGTCAATAAGTGAGCAATCTAACATTACTGCCAAAGGCAAGCATCTCAACGAAAGAGGAAGCGAACGAATGATTGATTGTAACTTTGTACACATGTATCGCCGCGCTTTAGATCATTTTGAAGGAGACTTGCTTCTGTCCACACGGACGGTGTCAGACTGGGTAGGATAGAGAGATCATTAGAGAGAGCGAGAGAGAGAGCGAGCGAGAGAGAGAGAGAGAGAGAGAGTGTGT